GGGGGGGGGGGGGGGGGAACCCCTCAGCGCGGCCGGCGCCGCGCCGCTCGCCACTGCAGGGCCTGCAGCCCCCTGCCGTGTGGGCGGCCCCCGGAGTTGCCCTCGCGTCCTGGGGCCACGCGGTGGCCCCAAGTACAAGCACCAGGGGGCGCTGCTGTGCATGCTGCGGCCAAGACCAAGGCGCCAGCAACACGGACCTCCCTCCTCTCTGTGGCGGTGCGCTCAGCACACATTAAGCCGCCCGCGCCCCCCGCTGTTGGCTCAACTGGAAGAGGGCGGAGGCCTTTGGCGCAGCGCCAGCCGCAGCCCTTCCCCTTAGGGCGCCCTGGTTCACGGCTGTGTCGCCCGCGCCCACGCCTGTGGGCCGGCAGCGGCGCCCCGCCGCACGCGTGCGAGGAGCTCGGGGGAGGCTGCCGGGCTCCACCGCTGCGCGCTGCTGCTCTGTGGCAGTGCTCACGCAGTCAGCGTGTGCCGGGCTCGGACGGGGCGGGTTGCTCTTTGCAGCGGCGGTCAGGTAGGATGGAGAGGCAGCCGCGTCGCAGCCTCTGTCTATTGTCGAAGGAAGTATGCAATGCACTAAATTGTTCGTCGAGTGGCAGCAATCAAGCTGCCGCATGGCACCAGTCTGGAGTGAGCGACGTCCGGGGAGCGCCGCTGCGCGTGCTGTGGCCCAAAGCATGAGACTAGCCCTGCCCGGCCGGCCCACTGGGGCCGGCATTGCAGCACGGGGATGGCCGCAGACTGCTCTAGCTGCCGCGGCACAGGCTCAGAGTCGGCCCATTCCTGCATGCCGCTGCCTGCTGTGGGTCCAACACGTCTGGATTGAGTGACTGCAGACCAACACAGAAGACTGAAGGTACTGGGTAGCATCACAGATTCCCAATCGGTCGTAACTGGTCCGCCCGGCAGAGCGGGCGGCACCAAGAAGATTTTGGAGTCTGTATTTGGGTGCCCAGCGGCGCCGAATAGCGACCGGTGGACAGGTGTCACTGCTGCGGGTGCGTCCACCAGGGCGAGTCATGTGTAACCCATGCTGGTGCACGTGTCAGCATGACTCAACAATATCAGTGGATTACTCAAGGGTCTGCACTGTCAGCAGGGGCCGGAGGTGTAAAACATCTGAATGCAGCATGAATGATGCGCGTGGATGGGCGGGGCGGCGTCAGTGCGAGCCGCGCAGGTGGGGGCGAGGCCGCCGGGGCAATGACAAAATGCAGGGGTACGGCGGGTTGCAGATGAAGGATCCCGGCCGGCTGCTGGGTACACAGGTGTATGGTGCCGCCAAGGCGGGCGGTGGAGGGCAGAGGACGGGCGCCGTCGAAAAAATACAGATGGGACGGACCCACGCAGCGGTGCGCGCGGGCGCGAGGGCTCCGGCGCGCCCTAGGCCGCGCCGCCGCCCGCCGCCGCGCGCGCCGCCGCTCCCGCGAGCCACGACGCCCAAATCGTCATCGGCACCGCCGCAACTGCATACGTCTGGAGCAGCAGCCGCGCCGCCGCGCCCGCGAGCCCGCCGCCGTCCGCGTCGCCGGCGCCGCCGCTGCTACCGCTCTTCGACCGCCCGCCGGCGCCGCCCCCTGCGCCCCCGAGCGCAAACATGACCACCAACGCCTGTGCCGGCGGCATCGCGCCCTGCAGCATGAGTGCAAACAGCACCGACGGGTCGCGCGGCAGCAGACCCGCCGCCGCGCAGGCGCCGACAAGCGCCGACGACGCAAGCGGCATCAGCAAGAACCGCACGGCCACGACGGCCGCGGCGGCGCGCCACTCCCACGCGCCGCGGGGCGCCAGCTGGCGCCAGACGGACGCGGTCGCGTCATCGGCCGACTCTGCGCCCTGCTCAGTCAGCTTCACGTAACCGCCTCCTGGGGGCGGGGGCGGCTTCCCGATCGATGACGTCACCGGGGCGTCACCCGGCGTCACCGTGATCGTAGTCATGCCGCCTTCCCTCTCGACCTGCAGCCCGCCGCCCTCGCCGGCCTCCTCCCCCTCCTCCTCTTCACTCGAGCTTGAGCCGGCGCCGCCGCCCCCATACCCTTCCCGGCCGCCCCTCCGGGTGCCGCTGCCAGATACGCCGGCCCCGCCGCCGCCGCCAAACGTGGGGCGGCCGAAGAGCGAGGTGGCGCAAACGAGCGTGGTGTTGGCGATGGTGGCGGCGCCCAGCATTTCGGCCAGCTCCCACACCGCCCGCGCCGCGCCCAGCAGAAGCGCGACCTCCCACGCGCCGCGCGGCGGCGTCGCGGCGACGGCGGCGGCGGCGGCAGCGGGGTCGAGGAGGAGCGGCGCGGCGGGGCTCAGGCCGAGGGCGACGCCTGCGGGGGTTTCGGCGGATTTTTTTGGTGGATTTGGGTGGGTGATAGTTGGGCTGGAACAAGTGTGCGTTGAGTCCAAGACGGGCAAAACATGGTTTCGGGCCTTGAAACGAAATGCATGGTTTGCAACCGAGCCAGGGGTACAGCATTGCAGGGCCCGCCGCCGCGCGGCGCGGCAGCTGGCAATAGCAGCGCGGCCCCAACGCAACACACCCGCGAGCGCCGCGGCCACCGGCGGGCTGAGCACCTCCCCCGCCGCCCGCGCCGCCGGCCGCAGCGCCGCGGCGGGGCCGGCGAGCAGCAGGCGAACGACGCGCCACGCGCGGCGGAGGAGCGCCTCTGCCGGTGTCTCATACGGGTCTGCCTCTTCGAC